GGGTAACAAACAGTAGAAATAAAATCACAAGGAAGGGTTGGGGAGGGTCCTGTGAACAAATTCATGGAAGTTTGTACAACATAAGATCAACATATAAAAAAATCAATGGCTTACAACCAGCAGCAATAATTTAAAAGTTATCAAAAGTTTTAAGCTGATTTAGAATACTATCAAGAACAAAGTGCCTAAAAATCAATTCTATCAAAGACATGTGAGGTCTCCATGCTGGAAACTACAAAACCCTGCTGAGAAAAATGAAAGAGAACCCAAACAGATGCAGAGATAAATCACACCACAAATCGACAGAGTCAATACCAAGTAGCTGTTAAGCAACCAAGAATGGAAACGGACACCTCTCAATCAAATGCCAACAAAAAGCTGTGCAAAATCAGATAATTCAACTGGCAAGGAGTTATGCAAAATTATGAGACCTGGGGCCAGCTGGGAGATGAAGGGAGACCCTGGAGTGGGAGGGGGATATGATAAAAATATACTGTGCGTATATACATATGTACACACTTGGATAAATAAAAATATAATTTTAAAGGACAAAATAAAAATCTAGAAAACTGGTAGAAATGTAGTTCAGTTGGTGGAGTGTGTCTAGCAAGCACAACACCCAGGCTTGACACCCAGCTCCTCACAAACCAAGTAGGGTGATGGCACTCTTCCTCTAGTCACAGAACTTAGAGGCAGATGAAGGAGGATCAGAAGTTCAAGGTCATCCCTGAGATCCATGTCAATCAGGGCTACATGAGATCCTTTCTCAACAACAACACAGAAGTGAGAATACCCAAAGGCCAAAGACAGCAGCTAGAGATATGGCCTGACTATCTCAGGTTGGGCAGAAACTCCATAACCAAGTCAGCAGGGGGCCGGCTGAGAGCAAAGGCTGGTGCAACCAGGAACAGCCCTAGCAAGGCACTGCCAAAAACTGAATAGAACTGGAAGCTGTGCTTTCCCCCACAAAGGATGGGATTAGACAACTATATAAAACTAAGTGTTTGAGAGGATCAAATATACATCCATCATGGTCACTTAAACAAGACACATATCTAAGTGCAAGAAGGGTAACACTCCTGAAGGACAGCATAGCAGATTTTGATGAAATTACAGCGAATACTTCATGTTTTGATGGTGGGTATCGTGTTTTTCTGTAGGATGTTTGGGGGCTTTTGCTTTTCTTGTGTTTTGCTGTTGTTGTTTTCTGAGACAGGGTCTCACTGTGTAGATCTGGCTGGCCTTGCACTGACATGGATCCACCTCCCTCTGCCTCCTGGTGTTGGTATTAAAGGTGTGTACCAGTACATATTTATTAAAGACAAAAAAAAAAAAGCGCAACATTTCAAGGGAACAACGGATCACCTTTCTTAAAATTACAAACTTCTTATCTAAAGAAATTTACAAAAACTAAGTGTAGGCAAATAAGGGGAGTGTTTTAGTTAGGGTTTCTATCACTGTGAAAAGATACTTTGACCATGGCAACTCATATGAAGGAAAACATTGAATCGGAATGGTTTACAGTTCAGATGTTCAGTCCATCATCATCATGGTGGGATATGGCGGCATACAGGCAGATATGGTGCTAGAGAGGAAGCAGAGAGTTCTATAATTTGTGTAGACAACATGAAATGAACTACATGTCACACTGAGCTTGTGCATAAGAGACCTCCAAGCCCACCTCCACAGTGGCACACTTCCTCCAACAAGGCCACATCTACTTCAAGGAGGCCACACCTCCTAATAGTACCAATCCCTATGATCTTATGGGGGCCAATTACCTTCAAACCACCACAGGAAAGAAGTCACAGTGTAAGCCAGGCATAGTGGTACATTCCTATAATATCAGCATGCAGAAGGCTGATGCAGAAGGGTGACTGTGACTTCAAAACCAGTCTGGGCTAGAGATCAAGATACTGTCTCTAAGGAAAAACCTAAGGGAGAGTTCACATGCCTGGTGAAGGATTTATACTCAAACCCATAAAGCAGTAACAAAAAAAAAAAAAAAAAAAAAAAAAAAAAAAAAGAAAAAGAAAAAAGAAAAGAAAGAAAAGGAGAAAAAGAAAATCTGTGTTAAAATGGATACGAGGTGGTAGAGTACAACTTTTAAACATTCAAACCACAATGGGATGATACTGCCTACTCACCTGAAGGGTCAAAACTTTAAAAGCAGGCAGAACCAAATGGCGGGCAAACTCTTCCAAATGTAAACATTTATATGCCACAAAGTCCAGCAATTCCTTACCTTGGAATTTACTCAAGAAAAATAAAGACAGAGCCCTTTGCAAGGCTGGAGCATGAACCCACAATGAACTTTCCAGAGAGTTCTAGATCTTGTTTGGGATGGTCTCTATATGGCTGTATACTTTTGTCAAAATTTAATGAACTTTTATGTTTGAAATCTAAATATCTCTATGAAGCTTTTAATTTCAGCTTTGTAAACTGACAAAATAATAATACTAATACTAATAAAAAGGTTAATTCCAAGTATTCTTGAGGTTTGAAATACCTCATCAGATTAGTTATTCACATATACATGCTTCTGGCTGCTCTCCATACCAGTTACTGGTTTGGTTGTTTACCACAATACTAGATAAAACAACTTTAGGAATATGGGTTTACTTGATCCATTAAGGCAGAGAAAGGCGGCTGGGGCCTGAGGCAGCTGAACACATTGTGTCCTCAGTCAGGAAGCAGGGACAGCTTCTCCTTTTTACTCAGTCCAGGACCCTGGTCTGTGGAATCATGCCACCTACATGCAGGGTGGGCCTTCTCAATTGACCAGTCTGGACAGTCCCTCACAGGCAGGAACAGAGATTTGTTTCCATGTAGATTCTAAATTCCACAAAATGGCCAACAAGGTTAACCATCATACTCTCAAAATTCAATTTCCCACTGCTACTCATGGGATCCCCAGTGTCAGGGTTATCCCACTGATACCCTCTCCAGAGTCCTAAACCAAGGTGGAAGCACCAGCCACTCTTCTGGATGGTGGTGGGCAGGCCTGCAGCCTCAGGCAGGGCCTCAGTGGAGAACTGAGTGAATGGTTAGGGGGAGATGGGGCACCAGAATCTCAACATAGGCAGCCTGGCCTCCGCTATCTACTCACAAGTGCCCTTCCTTGAGGGAAGCCAGATACAGTTCCACTATAGGGTGGTTGTTTTCACAGTCAACTCTAATCCTGACTTAACTTAGCCTCATTGTTCAGTTCACACAACCCATAAGACATACTTAAACAAATACACCATTGTCAAGATTTAAAAAAAAAAATTATGTGTATTTGTGGGGGAAGAGAGGACTGTCTACATGAGAGTACTTGGAGGTCAGAGGCATTGGGTCCCCTGGGGCTGGAATTATAGGCAGCTGTAAACCACCCTACACAGGGGACCCGAACTTGAGTCCTGCACAAGAGCAGTACAGGATTTTAACCATGGAGCCAGCTCTCCGGCCCCTAAATATATCTCATAATGCCTGCTTTTTAAATTTTCTTCCCCAAATTTACAGTAAGGAGTACTTTACTGTTTCTCCAAAAGAAGCCAACACATAATTTCTATGATTTATTGAGCTACTGAACATGCTAAGAGACAAAGTGACATTTTCCCTACAAATTATTTGGTGCCTGCGATTTTCTGAGCACCACAGCCAGATGGTTCTCACAGAAACTGAGAGGAGCCTGTTCCTGCAGTTCAAAGGTTTGCTTATTTTTCAGTCTTGAAGTCTTAAAGACGATATTGATTGCAGCACAGGGCTCTACAGGAGGAGCTGGCTGGGGAGGGCCATGCTGGAATTTATTACCAAACAATGCTCATTATGGCTGTCTCTGACAGGGGTCCATTAAAATCAATTTTTATGTTTCTTATGTATTTTCTTTATCTAATGTTCTTGGCATTGTGTTTATTAGCCAGTTAAGACAAACACCCAGCATAGGAGTTTGTGCTTTTTCTTCTCCTTTTTTTTTTTTTTTTCCTACTTCTCTCAGAAATAACAAGAATTGCCATTTTAATGCTACCACTCACGGCCAGCAAATGGAGGAAATTAGGAAGTTGGGTGCTACACTTTAGATGAGACATTCAGGAGTGCTTCCAATTTGTCTTCGTTTTGTTTTGTTTCTACAATTAGAAAAATATGGCAAGGACCATGCAAAGAGGAACACATGTCCTCCAAGGACCTTGCACTCTGACCCAGTGGAAAGACTTCCCACTCCTTAGCAGTGATCACTCCTGGCCTGGTACCACCTCCAGGAGGCAGCACAGTGGGCTGACAGAACCAGTGATCTAGTCTAGCAGTGGGAGAAGCGGCTGACAGACCCTGCCAGGCTCCACTTAAAGCCTCTGAGGTAAGTCACACGATTGAGAGAGCTGTCCATCCCTGTATCCCATGTGTTCAAGAGTCAAAATGCTCAATGTGGGTGGGAAAGATGGCTTAGTCAGAAAATGCTTGTTTTATAAGCATGAAGATCTAGGTTCAATCCCAAGAATTCATGTGAAAAGCTGGGAAAGTAAAGACTGATAAATCCTGAGGCTTGCTCACTGCCTGACCTAGCCTAAGGGGTGAGCCAATGAGAAACTCCTGTCTCAAAAAACAAGGTAGGAAGCAGGAGGCTATACACTGGCTTCCATATGCACATACAGACATGTGTACCCACTTGGACAGACAGACAGACAGACAGACAGACAGACAGACACACACACACACACACACACACACACACACACACACACTGCTCACAGAATTCAACACCTCTGCAAAAGAACACAAGAATCAAATATCTAGAAGCTCTCATCAAAGTCATGTCCCCAGGGCTTAAGAGCTATTCCATATCACTGGTTAATATTGGAGTTGCCAAGGACACCACAACTCACAGACTGTGTTCAGAGATGCTAATGCTTGTGGTTGGTGACATCAGGCTCGGCATTAGTGGAAAAGACCCAGGGCTCCTGTTGACTCCTGCCTTCAGCCCACACCACTCATGTGTGCCCATGCTCACAGCTCACACTTACTCAGTGCTTGGGGTCTTTCTGCTGAGGAATCGTATCCCATGCAGGCCTTGTTCACAGCCACACAGCTCGATCTTCCCCAAAGGGCTGTCCAACACTGTGTATTTCATTTTGCAGGTCTCAGCCATTCTGCCAACTTCCTAGAGAGAAGCAATTTTTAAGTAGAGTAAGAAAGTGTGTTTGGAAGCAGCTGGTCATTTATAAAGCACAATAGAAGCATTGGTTACTTAACACACAGGATATATTCCAAAGCTTTCCCTGCTGTTGGGATTAAATCATAAACTACTTTTACAATACAGCCACTTTCCACAATAACCTGGGTCACCCAACCAGTGCCTACTTCTCTTTTGTCCTCTAAAATTACAATGCTTCTATTTTTCCCTGCTGTCCTTAACTAAAGCAGACTTGGAGGAGGCTGAACTAGTGTAAGATTTTTTTAAACTACCTGAAACCCCAGAAAGCTTTGAATAAGATGACTGCCAGAAAAAACTGTTCCATAATTTGAACAGGGTACATATAAAAGTGAAGCATGGGGCTGGAATATAGCATGAGGGGCCAGACCACTTGCCTAGCCTATGACAGGTCTAGTTTCGTCGTTATGACAGATTAAAAAAAAAACATAAGACATGGGGACATGTATGAAATACATTACAGAAAATTTGGTCCAGCAGGGACACAGGGCACCTGTGTCAGCAGGTGGACAGAAAATGAATGGACGGCATGGTGGAGAGCTGGTGAACTTGACTTCCATGGAAACGGTAAATGCCAAAAAGCTACAAGGTGCACAGGGGGTGTTTCTGTACTCCCTTCAAGCTTCTCTTCCTTCCACATCCCTTGTCTGATTCCTGGAAAGAGAGGACTCCTGTTCCCTTGCTATCCAATAATTCCCCCAGAAACCCTCCTTGAGCCCCCCTGCACACCACTAGCAAACCCAGCACGCCTGGCCCCAGGCTTACAGCGAGATGGCTTGCTGCCTCTGCTCTCTGGCCTAGAACTACCTCCAATTACACTGCCTAGTCATCACCCTCCCAGAGGATCTCCTTTGTGTTGGTTATTACAGAATGTATTATGACCCATCCATCTCCTAGAATTCCCTCCCAGGTCACACCTTCATGCACTTGAGCTTCCCAAACCCTGGATTCTGATATTTCTAGCCCCACTTCATCTGGGCACCTCTTGCAATGAATGACAAAGCCCTCACCTGGGATCATATAGAACATGCAGAACAAGTCCACTATCCACATCTAGCTGACACCCCCATATCCTCCTCCCTCCCTCCGTCCCTCTGTCCCTCCCTCCCTACTTCCCTCTCTCCTTCCTTCCCTCCCTTCTTCCTTCCCTCTCTCCCTCTTTCCCACACCCCTCCCCCTCTGAGTGTGTACTTGTTTGACAGGCATTGTTAGAGCATGGTCACACCCTTCTTTGTTCACCTACAGTCTACCCCTGCTTTTCTTCTGCTCACAAGGTATGACAGATGCAGGGTGACCTCCAGAGCCCATCACACTTGTCCTCTGTCCCCAACAGAAGAGTTCTGCTGACCCCCACTAGACCCATACACCTCACCATAGCAGCCCTCAAGCTACAGGTGATCCACACGTGCAGTGACCCTTCGCACACTCTCCTGCCTGTCCATCACTAGGTTCCTGTGCCTCCCTGTCTAACTGGGATCTTCTGTGCCATCCACATGCTTCTAGCACCATCCATTGCTTCCTTCTCCTTTCCCCTTCAGCCTGGCATGAGTCAACTCTTTCCAAATAACACAAGGTATTCCCAAATAATACTCAGGCCTTAGCATCAGGTCCCAAAGCTTCCTTGCACAGCACACCACTTCCTGAATACACCAGCAAGAATTTGAAAGGGCTCTGCTCCAGGGCCTCGGGGGTTTGTGCCTGCTGGGAGATCTCAGCCTCAGGCCACTTGTCATAGTTTACACAGACCCCCCTACCCCCCTACCCCCTGTCCATATCTTATTTCTTTAACACCTACTTTGGGAACAGTCCCCTGACTGCAGGGTAAATACCAAACTCTCAGAGCACTGACTCCAAGCTATCCTGGGGACAAGAACTCAGGCTTGCCTTCTTGGAGGCTGCTATCTGGACACACAGCATACACTGGTATAATCAATATACTAGTCAAATCCAAAATACAGGGTCCAAGATTCTGAATGCAAAACTGGGGACACACAGAGGTGTACACTCTGTAGAATTAGGCCCAAAGAGCCAGGATGGCTCCAGCGGTCCTTTTTTTTTTTTTTTTTTTTTTTTTTGTATGCGCATCTATGTCTGAGTAAGTGCACATGGGTGCCATGCCCATGGAGGCCAAAAGAGTGTCAAACCCCCTTAAGCTGGAGCAACAGGTACTTGTGAGCCACGAATATTGATGTTAGAATCAGAACTTGAGTCCTCTGGAAAAGCAGCAAGTGCTTTTAACCACTGAGTCATTTCTTCAGCCCCCAACTGCCTGCTTCTTTGAGTGTTTGCTGACAGCAGCAGTCACAGGAAATGTGCATCTACTCTACCCCCCACGGTTCTCTGAGGATGGCGGTCCTAGGCACCTAGCTGGGTTGGGTCACCTACATGGGATATCCCTGTGGCCAGTCCAGGACCCAGCTGGGCTTATTATCGCTTACACTTGGCTGCAGAAACTAGACCGTGGCTCCCATACCTACATTCCCTGCATCATCACTGTGGCATCCACCAAAAGCCACAAGAGGGGCTGACATTCATTGGTGGCAGAAAAAGAATCGATTTTCTACGGCTATTTGGAGACCTCTGAAAAATGAAGCGAATTTCTTTTCATCTCCCTTTAACATGAAGGGCGCTTAAATAACAATGTTCTGAATTAAGCAGCTGGCGCCAGAGGCCAGTTCCCACCAAGGTACTGAAAGCCAGAGACCCACAGGCAGCGGCAGCCCCCTTCCTTCTCTGCTTGACCTCACCAGGCCTTCCAGAACTGTCTTTGCTGCTGCAAGGCACTTTTGCCAGTGAGTGTTTCCATGATATTCTCACGAAGAGCAGGCCCCAGGCCTGGGGTAGAGCCAGCAGCCAGGGGTAGAGGAAGTAGATGCCCTAGGACTGTGAGAGGGGAAACAGGTACAGGATCAGACCTCAGGCCCTGCCAAAGCCACCAGGGGCCCTGTTAGGCATCCCAGCCAGTTGGGGTCTAAGAAGGAAGGACCAGAAGCAGCACTGGTCTCCAGCTCCCATAGCCACCTCAGCCACAGGGATGGGGAAACTCCAGACTAGAGCAAACCATGCACTCATGTCATCTAATCCTAAAACCAGCCCTGGGAAGCTGGGAGGGAATGGGACTGGCCAACCGTGAGAGCCCAGAAGGACTGCAACAAGGAGACTGAGGCAAAATCAGGGCTGATGCCCACCAAACCAGGAGCCTCCCAGGTGAGTTGGGAGTTGTCCCATTCAACAGAAGGCAATCCCTCTATGGCTCTGTCCCTCTGACTGACAATGGGGCTAGATTAGTATCAAACAGAATAAGCTGAAGTGTTGTCATTCCAAAGCTACCAACTACAGCCTGACCTTCAGGCCACTGAAGCAAAGAGATGAATCTTCAGGTCTGTGACTAAGCTTCTGTGCAGCCCGGTGAGTTGTGCATAACCAGATGTGAATTCCGCACTGGGACGACAAAAGTGGCCATCTGTCTTAAGTTAGGGTTACTATGGCTGTGCTAAAACACCATGACCATAGGCAACTTGGGGAGAAAAGGGTTTATTTTGCTCACACTTCCATATAACAGTTCATCCTCAAAAGCAGTGAGGGCAGGAACTCACGCAGGGCCGGAACCTGGAGTAGGAGCTGATGCAGAGACCTGTTCACATTCCTGCATGTCACAGAGATCCTGTGACAAGTGATCCCATGAACTCAGTGTCAGAGTGGGGCTGCAGAGTCGCAATCATGAGCTAAGTGCTCTCTACCTTCTACCTACTTACTCATGTAGAAGAGACATTTCTATACCACAATACAAAGAAAGTGAAAATTCACTATTTTCTTTATTTTTTTAAAGACAGAGTCTCTGGGTAGCCATGGTTGTCCTGGAAGTCACTGTGTAGACCAGGCTGACCTAGAACTCAGAGATCCATCTGCCTCTAACTCTCAAGGCACATGTCATTACACAGAGCTGGAAAACCACATTTTTAAATGGTAAAATAGGACTTTCTGTGGCAACCTCAGACCCAAATCCTGAGTGTTTTAAGTCAATCTCTACTCAGACATCACCTTCCAAAAAAAAAAAAAAAAAAAAAAAAAGATAGGGAAGAATCTGTTCTCGGGCCCTATGTAATTTACTGAAATCCAAAGTTGAAATTCATAATGAAGCAGTCAGTATCATTAAACAAAATGTATACAAAGAGGATGAATTACAAAGACCAATGAAACCCAGACCTCCTGCAAGAAAGTCAGAAGGCAGAGGGTAACACTGTGTCTATAGGCTGCTGAATGACATGCTAACAACACCCTCCTTCTCCAGCATCCCCATTCAGTGTGACAGGGGCCTGAGGCCTGAAAGTGAGGCACATCCTACCAGGGACCTTCCACAGCACCCCAGCTGTCCTGTAGGGAGAGACGCGCAGCCTGTGTCAGCCAGGTGCCCCTCCTTCCAGGATCATGGGCTCTGGAGCCAGTGGCCAGCAAGTAAGGCTGTGGGACCGAGTTCCTCCAAAGACACTGGGCCTCAAGAATGACAAGGACCCTGAAATCTCTGGTTTGAACCTTGGAGCTGCTCAGCTTCCCTACAACAGACCTGGAAGGATAACAGACAGCCAATCACCTTCTGGCTTCTGAAACTCCTGTGGCTCTGTCATCCTTATACTCCACTTCAAAGGTGCACCGGGTTCAGCAGAGCGGCCCACTTTCTTCTCACCTAGCAGGTTCCAAGAGACTCCCGGGCATGGGGAGATAAATGTTTCCACTATCTGCAAAATGCTGGCAGGTGTCTGAAGGGTGCCCAAGTCTAAACTGTGCATAGTAAGCAGTCCTGCCACAGGCACTCCACCCTAACTCAGCACCCAGCACGCCAGGGCTCAGACACTCCAGATCCCATGATGCTGTCTGGAGTCCTGTTCACTTCCTACTCTCATGATCCTCACACACCAGCAGGACCGCAATGTTTTAAAACTTTTAAAATG